AGTTAGGGAATTCCTTAAAGTATTCCCTCCATCGCCGAAGAATGTAATCATCCTTGGTAAGAGGGTGTCCAGACGTATCCTTCAAGACTCTGAAATTGCCCTTCTTTTTTCCTCGAAGCCAGCGGATGGTCTGGCAGAATACTTCGTTTGCCGTGTGAAAATTGCACTCCAGCACCTCACCGAACTTCTCCCAGGAATCAGCCTTGGCTTTTGCCACTGCTATGGCTGCCGCCTTGCGTGCCTCCACATATCGCACACGTGTTTCCAAGCCATTTGTTGAACGCTGCTTTCTTCTCTTTAATTGCCAGTTGTACCTCTCGTGTGGAGTAGAACAACTGATAATAGACCTGGGCGGAAATCGACGCACGATTTTATGACTTAGCCCAGCACTGCTGCCTTTATTATTACATACTCTTTAAGCTGAGTGAAAGTCGGTTCACCAAGTGATTGGAGAAGGTAATGGTTCACCAGCTGACGTAATGGCGGAGTGGTTTGCGCAAATTACTCCTCAGATATTGAATTGATATTGAAGTCAACGTATGCCTAGTCGGCTGTTCGATTGGGGCAAATCAGCCGACATCATGAAAACGGTCAAAATTTTCATCCTTTCCCCCTCCTCCTCCTCCTCCCCCCTCCTTCATCCAGTGTCCTGCGGCGGCGCCACTTCAAACGACGGATTTACTCGTAGTCTAGTCAAACGTCTCCTTTAATATTGTCATAATATGGTTCCCTGCCACTTTGTTCTTACTCAGTCATAAAAGTGCTTTAATCATGGAATATATGAATCCTATGCAAATGAATTTTTAGAATAAACGACCGATTAACGATAACAGCGTGGAAGTCGAAACTGATTTGCATAAGGAAAATATGTTTCTGCAAAAGGAAATTAACAAACTGCAATTCCGGCTGAAAGCTCTTCAGAGCACCGTTGAGATAATGAAAGACCGCAATTTGGAATTAAAAATGATGGCAGAGTTGCAACAATCACCAAGTCTGTTCCAGCGCTTAGTAGTTTATTTCTTTGTTTAACATTAAGTTTTAGTTAATGCCGAATACACCTCCCCTGAAGTGTCAACTCTGCGAAAGTATTTGGAAGAAACCGAATCGTTACGGTACTACAATATTGAAATTTTTACATGGCGCCTGTCGATATAACCATATCTGGTTATGTGAAATCTGTTTTGTCACATGTAACCCAACTGTAACATGGATGTTTTTCTCACTCGTGACATCAAAGTCACGTGCAATTGATATTTCGAATGCGGATCCGACATGATTAAGAAAAGAAAACTTTGTAACTGTTGGAACGTCGGTCTACCTTACACTTTCAAGATAGTGACACTTTTGGAGTCCTTCTTGTCATTAAGTTAATTGTGGGGTTAAGTTAATGATTTCCATGCCATCAGACAGAACTGTCTGTTTTAAAGGCACAGCCGACTGCCGCATTGTGGCAAGCATGGGATTTCTTGTTTCCTTCCCACAGAATGGTGCTCGTTTATCAACTTTGGAAAGAAGAGAGGCGAATGACGTGACCGAAACGCAGAAACCGTGATCTTCTGATTCTGAGTCCGATGATCTAACTGACTGAGCAACCTCGGTCACCAATCCTCGCGTGATTACGAAGGTTGGTTCCGACTGATATGGCATTTTGTGAATTGTTAGCTTGTGCCTTCTCGATTGTTACCTGAGTACATTTGTCTTCCACAAATTCTTCTCATATAGTTTTAAATATGCAAATTTTTAGTTACGGCTTTATGTGGAGTATCTTACTCCTGTATGGACTACCTTGTTCTCACTATGGTAATCAACTTGAATGAGTCTAATATAAAACGCTTCATTGCACAACGCAGTAGGCAGTCGAACAGCGACACTTTGGTCCGCGTCTCATGGACTTTCTTCATGATGAGGATTGCTGTAGTTGTAGTTGGCTGCGACAAGTGATCATCGCAGCCGGAAGACAAATTTTCGACCCGTGTTACTGATTTTGTAATTTGACGACAACAGATGCGGTGAGGATCACAGATCCGTGCAGACTTTGTATGTCGTCATTGACCTTTCCTCAATACTGGATGGTTAATGTCTCATTGACGATCCTCCGCCGCCAACTGTTTCTTTGGTGATACTTCTATACTGAGGGAATGTAGCTATTTTTTTCGCATTTCACCTGATAGGTAAGAGCATTGTATTGAGTAGTAATGACCTGCTTTTTATGCCATGTTTTTATTATGTCCATTATGTACTGTTTTATAGCAATAAATATAAAATCAAATCCTGTGCCATTAACGAGATTAACCTTGACCAATAATAATTTTTGGAAATCTTTGTATTATGTTCCTACTGTCACAAGTTTTATACGATTTCTTCCTGCATCTTTGCAATCTTATTATTCAATCAGTATTACTGACTGATGTCATTCCTAGTGTTAATTCATAATGACATGAAGGCACATGTTTTTTTTTGCCGAGCTTACTGCAAGCTGTTGTCTATTAAAGTCAGGTAAGAAGCTTAGTTTGCTTCCGTTCAAAGACATGTTCCATTGAGTATTGCCTGCGAATCGCCACTCTCGCTCGGAGGATGGACGGCAAGAACAAAACACGTATTGCGATGCTTAATCTGGAAAAGTAATATTATCGATGGTTTCCAAATTTGTAGTTCGAATATCCTTAGTATCCTTCTCTTATACAGAAGTTTCTCAAAATGAATAAGAAGTTTCGTTGTGTTAAGTTAACACTGTTACGTTTGTCGTATTCCGCACTCCTTGATGATGGGAACACCGGCGTTGGGTTATGGATACCTTCTAATTAAAGTAATATTCATCAAATTTATAAAATTCGAACAGAATTCTAACAACACTTACAAATGTATGACAGTTGTGAGTAACGTGCATGATATATTATCGGTTTTACCGGTATTTCCATATTAGGACAGTGTTCCTCATGTGACATTATCTTAATCTAGAAACCTAAGTTAAAAGATATTTCATCATATATACAGAAAAGGTCAGTTAGAATCCTCAAAAGAATATATTTATTGAGCGAAGCTTTTGGGCATCCATAACGGTGTTCCTTTTTCAGCATAAATGATTTATTTGTGAATATGTGCTCAAGAACGAATACGGCTGTTGATCCTGAAGGCTTCACTAAATAAATATTTTTTTCAGGCTTCTAACCGACTCTCTTTATCTACTGTCATTATGTCAAGTGAATATTTCATTATATTCCCGTGTTTCAAAAGCGTAATGTAAAAATTTGTTTTATTCCTGTAATCGATTCATACGTTTTATTATGCTAACAGAATGCTCGTTTAATTTGTTAATGAATAGCTTGAATTTAAAGCTTGCTTTTATTTAAATGCATATTATTCTAATGCAAGATGACCCGTTGTTCATCCAGCTGCTGTTTAGGACAAAGTTGATGGAATCAGAATTCATGTGTCATGCTCTGACCAAGCGGCTGCGTTATTTTCAAGAGAAAGCTCAAAACTATGGGTCGTTTAAAGACCTGTACAGCGGTTCAGCATACTTTAAAGACATGGAAGTCGATTCTGTGGAATGTTCTTTCGACACGAATGACATCTCACCGTAAGAATTCCAGTAAACTCATGTTTCGCATAAAGTTTCTGGCATCGTAGAATTTTTTCAGCAACGTGTCGGTCCCAGGTGTCGTAAGATATGACGAAAGCTTATCAAACAGTTTACACGTCAGCAACGAAACCGAAAGCAGAGAAACCGATGAAAACGAATGTTAGCAAACCGGTGATACCTAGTCATAGCCTGACTTTGATCTTTGTTGATCTTCAGGTGAATTGAACGACATCCAGTGCGAAATATCCAAGAAAGAGCACTTGATTGAAAACCTACAAAATAGTCAGATCTGGTTGCAAAGTCTGTGCAGGCGGTACCAGGAGAAACTTGCTCACCTTGAACAAAGTGTGCAGACGTCTGACTTTCAGAACGACGAGTCTTCTAACTCTGGTACGGTTGCTTTAGCAAAATTTACCCTTTTTGATTCTTGTTTGTATTCTCATCGTCATCCACGCTAACAAAGCCTGAACAGCAGAGTAACCCAGATTTAAGATGTCTGTCCTTTTCAGATCTTATCTCTGATATACAGTAGGCTACGACCATGTTTCGCTGCTGCGACAAAGTGATGTACCTCGTCGTCGCAAGTTCATGGTTGTTGGGGTTCAAGAGACCCCGGGATTGAGCCTCGGGTACTTCACTCGCCTTTCTTGAAAAATGAATAGCACCCTATGGGAAGGAAACAGGAAACTATCCACTATTATTACCACAGGTTCCTGTTGATTCTGCCTTTAAAGTAAGGCCACTGAATGTCAGAAATTATCCCGCCATGAAAGTGTAACGAAGACCAACACTGCAACGGTAGCAGACTTCCATTTTTTCCTTTTCAGGTTGTTCTATTTGGATGCCAGTAATTCTGCTGGCATTTCACGTCAGTACTGGCGATAGTACAAGTTAGCTAATGCAAGTACAGAAATATTTTAAACTAATTTCATAACCAGAGCATATTACATTACGCTGTTTCCTCGCCTGAAATCAGGTTAACTGCGCATTACATGGCCTCTTTACTTTTAGCTGTCTAGGAGGCGTTTAAGTATAATTATGTTTCGTCAGCTAGTACTCTTCATATGTTGCTGCATCAGTGTCCAAAGCCGGAGTACGTTGATTAGGGCATTGCATAAAATTTACCTCTGAATATAGGTACTCAACTACCACGGAGCTATGGCCTGTTTAAATATCTCTTTAGGCAACTAGGAGCAAGGACAGCGTAGGAGACTCGAATCTAGCTTTGCACAAGTTATGCTTAATGTATTCTAGCGCATAAATCCTTACTTTTGATATTTACGCAGTGGCATATATGGAGTACTAGCTCTTGAAAGCAGTACACTATTTCTTTAGTGGCTGCGGGCTGTTTTGGCAAACCAGATGAAGCCAGATGCATTTAACGTTCAGATATTCAAGTACCATATTACCGTAGCCTGCCTAAATGGCCCCATAGATCAGGTTTCACTATGTATTGCACGACTCCCTTGTTCCTAGTTGTCTGGGTGCATGGTATTCGAGCATCTGCATCTCGCATCCTTTTCTTCGTTAGGGCAACCGCGTGCTCACTATAGGCGGTTTCATAAGGTGGCATTTTCTGCGTTCCTATTTCACAATATATAATGCCACGTAGAGACAAAAATATAAGTTTTTCATTGTGATGTATTAATTTTCACATACCATTGATTATATTATTGTCATGACCAGTGACCTGCTTAAGTGGTCCCCTAAACAACTATGAGCAAATGCGCGCGTCGCTGTACGCAGTGATATCTTGCGACTATTTACCTGCTAAAAATATTACTACAACTGTAAACTATTCATTTAGTACCGTATTCCTATTATCTCATTGAGACTAATAGCGCTATGTTCTGTGTATTACCGAGGCATCAGTAATGCCGGGCATGTCAAAATTAAATATAATCGTTAGAAATATGTATAACAGTAAACCAATTTACATGGCAGTGTTGGACTTCTTCTGTTCAGCGGCTATTGCTGCAGAGCATGAAAAAAATTCTGCCTTCTGAACAGCCACTGGCGATGAGCAGCGTATTGCTTTAACCAAAAAGCGCTGTGGGACATCTCCCTATTACAGTACTAGAATATTGTAAAGGCACCATCTGCTAAATTTTCCTTTGAGCGTTTAGGATTGAAGGGGGATGCAATATCCTGTTAAGTTGCCGAACGTTGGTTATTGTTGGTTTTTAATAAGCTTTTGCCCTGTATTGGTTGATGTCAGGATCAGGTTTCGATGTTCCAGCTAGCAACTACTTCGGTCTGCTGCGATGAACAAGCGCTTGCTACTACCATGGCTAGGTTGCATTCCAAGAAAGATTGTTTTTACTGTTATTAATATATTTTAGAGGAGGCAGCACTGGAGAAATGCTGTATTTCTAAATTTTCCTCCATCTCTTCGTCATGTGAGATCTTAATTTTTCGTCTGATTTGATGTGTTTCCTTTCTAACACACGTCCTATCGATTCTGAAATGACGGCAACATTAGGAAAGTAGATGGTAGATGTAGCAGTTGCATTTGCGTTTATTGTTCTGGCTCCTTATTGCTTTTTTGACCCATTTTTGCAGATACTCGTTT